GCTGTTTTAATTGGTCATCAGGTTGTGTGTGTGTGTGTGTGTGTGTGTGTGTGTGTGTGTGTGTGTGTGTGTGTGTGTGTGTGTGTGTGAGGTCTCATGGTGCGGTCTGAACAGGCTCCCTTAACATTCATTATTAGTTGATTAAAAAGAATGAGCTTCTCTTATGCTAATAGTGGCATAAAAAAGGCAGCGGCGGCGGCTCGGCTCCTTCAGCAAGCTGAATTAAGGCCACATTACTTATTCATGCAAATAAATTGAAAGTCATGTTGGGATTGATTTCCATTATTGTGAATAGCAATGACAACACTGTATTCTCTGCCTAACAGGATAAGTGTTGTATAGGAGGTGAGAAGCCATCCACAATAAAGCCCGTGCACTCGTGAATCTGCTGCAAATGTAACCAAAGCTCGTCCCCTTTTAGATACAACTATTGATTAGACTGCACTCACTGTAGCTTGTAACACTGTCATATTAATGCTAAGTAAAGCATTTACACTACCAGGGTAACCCTCCTCTAATCTGTGTGCCGCTCCAAAGCTATCGCTGCGTTTCTCATTAGCAGCCGTTCTGAACCAACCCCACACCAGTGAACCCTTTATGGTTTTCTTTGCATTTATATTATGCCTCTGTGTTTATGCCCGCTTTTATAACATAACCAAGGCTTTATATGAACGCGTAAAATCCCAAAATCATTTCCAACATCGACCTATGCGATCCTCCCCTTCTGTTTTTTCCTTTTCCTCGTTCACCACCAGAACTCATCGTTAACACCTTTCTCATTACAGGTGTTAATTACAGGTATATTATATTACTGCCAGTAATAAGTAGTTATTCACTTCCTCTTCCCGGTCCTGCTCTTTCTTTCAATCGTTTTCTTGCTTAAATGCAAGTATCCACCTTAAATCTAAGTAACCTCAGCAGCTCGGTGTTCTTAATACTGATTAGATTTTTTTGGTTGGTATTATATCTGGAAGTTTGGATACTGTGCACATTAATGTGCACGCACATTGCAAATTTCTGCATGATTATCTACCCCTGCATGAGCGTGTGCATAAATTCAGACCGTATGAATGTGCATCTGTGTGCACAGACACATCCATACATGAGACAAAAAGACTGTCTCTCTCAGCGTGGGCAAGAGTGTAAAGAGAAAATGTGTGTGTGTGTGTGTGTGTGTGTGTGTGTAGGGGGTCTGCAGCTGACTTGAAAGCCTAGGAGCTGACAGGCTGTATGCCTGGACCTCCATCTCAGCTCCACCGCCCTGCTCTACTGTTCAGCTGTGTGGCTGGGCTCATTACATACCCACGCGATTGCGCGCACACACACAGACACACACACCTCTTCCTCACAGTTTTTCTTTCCATCCTTCTTTCTCGCGTTCCTTCTTCTCCTCCATTTTTCCTGTCACTTTTGTCATATTCTGCTCTTACTCTGCTCCTACTAACTTTTCTTTCCTTTTTCTCCTCTTCTTCTGTCACTCTGTCACACTCTTCTCTAACACCTGGGACATCTACACTTCTTTTTCTGTTTCTTTGTCACCCTTTCTTCATTTCTTATGCTTTTTTCCTTTTGTGACATTTTGCTTTCTCCTCTCTTTCTCACTTCACTCTTTCAGTATTGGTTCCCTTCTACTCTCAGATTCTAGTATCCTCGCACCTTCTCCATCTCTCTCCTTCACCTACACCTTCATCCTTATTTGACTAAAGTCAAAGCACCAGAGGGAGGGATGGAGAAAAGCTATAGCCAGAGAGGTGGCAAAGAAAGAGGAGACAGCACGACACGCTCCTAGTCCTTAATGTGGGCAGGTCTCACTAACCTATAGACGCTACACGCCTCTATAGAACGAGATCATACATAAATATCTGCATGTGTGCAATTAATCTTTCAAACGTCTCACATGTATCCTTCACAAGCTTATTCAAATTCATGGAAGACCATGAGACAGCCCTGGAGAGATGGAACTAAATATATTTATGCCAAGGTTTGATTTAATTTAGTTTTGTTGTTTACTGCACTTTGTATGAACTTTAATTAATAATATTATAGAATTAACAAAAAAACATTATAAAAATATTATCTGCATACTTAAATCTAAAGAAATATGTTGATAGCATCAGATTAATGGGGGTATTCAAGTTGACCCCTCTGCTTGTCCTCTGTCGGCCTAAAGAGGGCGCTGTGGACTCAGCGTTTAATGAGCAATCACAGGCGCTTTCACCCCGCTCTGCAGGCACTGCAGCTGATAGGGCTCCTGTTGACTTGATCATGTGATTCACACTTTCTCAAAGGCTGAGCCGCTGCTGTACGAGGCTGAGAATAGCACGCTGTTTGTGGTAATAACAGTCTGACATAGGGAAGTGAGACGGTGTGAACGGCAGTACTTATATTTGTCCAAGGAATTCTTCTTTTTTCCTACTTTTTCCAATCTATGAAGTATCTGAAATTGCCCAGGGGATACTGGATAGCACCTTCATGTACCGCAGAAAGGCCAAGTTATAACCAGTGTTCCCGAGTCCCATCAATGATCAGTAACACGTTTTATTATATTTTTCTGGGCATTAGACTATTTCACTAAAGCAGTGCAACACATCACTTGACCATTTTAATACAGAACATGCAGAAAAAGGACGGACAAACACAACAAAGAACACACGTGCAGTTTCTGGGCTATATTTCTAAAACACTCAATAAAGTATCTAAAATCATTTGCATGAAATAAGCAGCAGTCGCTTATTTGTATGTGCTGTTGCTAAGATGCTGCGTTTAAACACCACAACAAAAAAAATGGGAATTTTGTATGAATTTTAACCAATAATTATTCTAAAAAAGAGAATTTTTTTCTTACTTGGGGAAGATTGCCAGCATGCCTCTGTGTCTACACTAAAATATAGACTTTATTAAACACACTCAGCACAATGCTGTCCTCTCTCCTGTTGACATGTTCCAGATTTAAAATAGTGACGCATCTGTTCATGAAGTCTATCACACACAAAGAGGAGACGGACTAAAAACACCAAACAGTGCAGAAAACTAATAACTTGAATGCAAAGAATCTTTTTTGTGCTAAAAACCAAACTATTGGCCGTCAGGTCATCCCAACACCGTGCTGTTCCTTAACAATAAAAACTATTGCACTGACTGCAGTCATGTGGCTATATGATATGTCACATTTTAAAATTAACCAAATGGACAAAGACCTAATTACTGCGGCGGCTTCAATGACAGTTCCTGAAACAAAAATAACGCAGTTTTATTTCCTCTGTGACACAAACACCCATCAACTCTACAATAACCGCGATTGTAAAGCGGCGCAGTCTCAATCGGACCTCTGTGTCGCCAGCCTCAGTTTTCATCTGTGTCAGGGTTAAAGATCAAGGTAACAGGAAGCAGCTAAGTGGCCAGCGGAGGTGCCGGGCACAGAACGGCGCAGGCAGAATGACTACATGACACATGGCTCTGAGCTGCCCGTGCCTAATGAAACACATCCAACACTGGGAGATTACTGAGCAGTGGGGGTTGTTGGTGTATCCACATATGTACAGAGTGCTATAACTTACCCAGCGAGTGAGCAGCAGTTGTTTTAGAGCTGAAGAATCGCCCCAGTCCCAAGTCTCCTAGCTTAACTACTCCAGTAGCTGTGATGAATACGTTGGCTGGCTTGATGTCTGAAAGTGAAGGAAAAGTGACAGCTTGAAAACGATAATTTCTTCATATTAATTCAGGAAAGTTTTACTTTTAGTCTCTACCAAATAAACATGACTGAACTGGAAGCATAAAGTCCATCATTGAAAATATCATTTGGACATTAACATAGTTTCAAACACCTTGGTAATGTGACCCACGTCGGGCTTTGAAATTTACTACTCCCGTATAACTGTAAGCGGCTTTTGAATAGGCCGTCTCTGCTAAGTGGTCATTAAAGCTCAGAGCTCAGGGTTCATTAGTGTCCCTGAGCCCTAATCAAAGTCAGTCCAAACGGAAGTACATCACCTGTAGCTCTGTGTGTGTGTGTGTGTGTGTGTGTGTGTGTGTGTGTAGCCTATGCATGTGAATCCAGGACTCGACTTGACTGGGCCCTATTCAAAGCACGTGTGCCCATAAACACTGTGTTCTCTGGTCTATGTATTGTTTAACACCTACACTTAAGCCCCCGCCTTATGAAACACGCTCATTCACACTAAAGAAAATTCACTTTAAGCACATTGACTTTGAACTAAAAAGCACCTTTACAGAAAAACACTGAACATTTTCCAACATTTTTCAGCATTCTCACTTCAGTTTAGCGAGCTACTAAAAATACTTGAACAGCTCGCGCTGCCAGACGTGGATCCAACTTACTAACAGTTATAGACCATAAACTGTTTTTAAGTGGACGTCTTCACTGAATGTTTCTTTTAGTCTTGGACTAGACTTAGTCCACGTCTGGGAAACCTACTGACAGCCAGTGCACCAAACTACTCATAAGTTCTTTTTCCTTATGTTGTGTAATAATACACTCAGGATTACATCAGATTTTATACGAGCTCTACTGGGTCTCGTAGTTAAATCCAGTCCATTTCTTGTCACTCCCGTGCTGAGAGCAGATCAGTGCACACAAATTTGTAAGTAATCTTAAATATTCAAGGTAGCACA